TTACCTCAACCTATACCACAACAAATGAAGAACTTAACATAATTGTAAGGGAAGTTCGGAAACTACTTGAAAACATGAAGAACAGAAAAGCTGCAGGTAAGGACGGGATACCAAACGAATTCCTGAAATATTGTGGAGCACCAATGACAGAACAATTAACGACATTGATTAATAAAATTATATAACACAATAAAATACCAGAAGAATAGAGAACGAGCGAACTAATTCTACTATTCAAGAAAGGAAATAAAAAACAGCCAGAAAACTACAAAATTATAGAGGTATAAACTTGTTAATTTTTTAAGCTCTATATTTATCTCTATTAGGATTGAATATAGGCCTCTCCTAATTCTCGCCATTTACCTCTGTTGTTTATAAAACGTTTCCACATTAGTTCTGCAGTTCTTTTAATATCGTCGCTCCATCGCATTTGCGGTCTTCCTCGTGGTCTTTTGGCTTCATATGGCCGCCAATTCCGATTTCTTTACTCCATCGGCCATCCTTTGACGTCGGAAGACGTTTTGTTATGTCCAGCCATAAGTTATGTCGAATGTGTATTACGAATGTCTTCATGCACAAAAAAGGTAACATTTCAGACCTAAAGAACAGACCTATTAGTTTGCTCTCCCATACATACAAACTATTCATGAAGATAATAACAAAACGGCTTGTGAACAAACTGGATAGTTACCAACCTTGTGAACAGGCTGGGTTCCCCTCCAGATACGGAACAAATGATCATCTGCAAGTTGTAAAAACGCTAATAGAAAAGTGTACAGAGTATAACAAGCCTATCTTTCTTATATTCGTAGATTATGAAAAGGCGTTCGATACTATACAGATTGAACGAAATAAATTCGGAACATAGGAATATAATGTATTTCGGCTTAATTCTGCTGTAGGTGGTTGGCCAACAAAAGATTGTCAAATAATTATATTATAAAAATCCCATACTTCATGGGCTGCTGGATTCTGAACTCATAAAAATTGAAAGCTACACATAAATCTACGATTTATGCTGTCAAACCAGTTATAGTCCAGGAAATGAAGCATTTCACCTCGCAATTTTTTCGTGCTCCGTGGATAGACTTGAAAGTTAACAGAAGGTAGGTAATAGCCTAAGGATCAAAATCTATATCGAACCAAAGTGCGCCAAAGCTTAGAGGGTGGTTGCCACCCCATCTCCGGGGTGAAAATTTTTTTTACGTTTTAACTACAGGTTTCGATTAAAAAAGTGATTCTAAACAAAAAATGTGCTATACATTTTTTTATAAAATGATATTTTTCAAGTTATTCGCGATTGAAAGTAATAACTTTTAGACGAAAAAATCCACGTTTTTAATCGATTTTTCGCGAATAATTCGAAAATGGTGCATTTTATCAAAAAAATTGTAGAGAACAAATTTGTAGCTTTTAAAAAGACAAATACAATTCATTTTTTAAAATGTTTTTGCGATATAATAGGAACCGAAATACGGCCTATCAATGTTCAGCGGATTTTCTTCAAATGCCAAATTTGAAAGATTCAAAATCAAATATCGGGAAAATGATGCATTTTTGGAAGAAAACTCAAAAAACCTTTTTTAAAGAGCATAAATAGACCTATCATAAAAAAGACTCCAGCTCAAAAATTGAGTGAGTTATGATGAAAATAAGGTCAATAGCCTCATTTTTTACGAAAAAATCGATGAAAACAACCCCCTAACCAGCCCCATAATTAAAATCGATCTTCACCCTTCTGAAATTCCCTTTGTACATGTATTGTTAATACGTCCAAGAAGTTTGACCCATTTAAAATGCTTTGTGTTAGAAAAAGTACAGCTTAAAGCGAGAAACGATTTACAATTTCATATTTTTTACCCTTCTTTTTTTAAATATGCCCGAAAATACTGAATATATGAAAAAAATACAAATTACCAAATTGTAGCTTTTTTAATGACTAAAATTATCCTTCATTTAGATTTGTTGTACAATGAATATTTGGCGAGATATAGCCGTTTAAAGCATCGATTTACGATCAAGCACCATCTTTTTCGAGCCCTTTAAACTCACCCCATTTAAAAACCAAGGGTTCCAAAAGATTTAATTCACAGATCCTTGTAGCTCTTAAAAACCTCTACAAATCGTTTTTGAAGAAACACTCTATCGTTAAAAATTAAAGGAAATACGTTAAAAAAACCAGTGAATTTTTTTCCGGAAAATTCCATTAGTAATAGTACAGTACATTTCGGAGCATAATAATCTACAAAACCGGTATATTAGCTAGTGGGGCGTTATACATTCGAAATTTTAAGCGTTCTTATTTTGAAATCCCATACAACAGAATAAAACATCTGCTCATATGTCTATGGCTTGGCAATGAAAATATTAGAGCAACAGATTGGGGATGGTATTCCAAAGATGGTTTGTTATTACCCGTACGCATGAACAAACAACCTGCACTCGATGAACTTTTGAAAATTATTTTTTGGCAATGCAAAAAAGGATGCGGTGTTTCATGTGGGTGCAGAAAAGTTGGTTTATACTGTAACTCTACTTGTTCTGGGTGCTCAGGTGAAGGGTGCAATAATAGTCCACCAATAATTGAAGATGAGGATGACATAGATCACGATGAAGATGTAATTGATGACGAATAAAATTAATATTATAATTGTTTTACCTATAAATGTAAATTATTTCAACTATTTATGTAAATGTATATATGGTGCCTTTTTATGTTGATAAATTTTTTTGTATTTAATTCTACTTTTTTCAATTTATATCTTATAAATTAGTTTATAAAAACTGCAATGTTGTAAAGGGTGATTTTCAAAAGTTGAAAAGTTGCAAAATTTTGGCAAAAAATTGTTTTCACCTATAGCACTCATAACAATTGATTTTTAAGGGTTGAAAATGTATGAATTTGTATTTTAAAGTATAAAAAAATCACTATTTAACTAATCCAAACCAAATTTCAACTCATCTTAAGATTTATAATATTATTTTACAATTTTTAAAAATTATAAAAACTATAAAGCAGAGGGTGAGTTGAGCTATAATTCCAAATTTTTATGCAAATCGTTCCAAGGTGAAATCATTTTCTTCGCATTACTAATTTTTTTATATTAATCTCTAATAAGGGTCGCTTTTTAAGGGTTGAAATATGATGGAACTTTATTCAAAAGCACGAAACTATCATTATTTAATTAATTCAAACCAAATTTTACCCATATTCAGGTTTAATATGTTATTTTATAATTTTTGACAATTACGGGTAGTTTTTACCCCTAAGAACAATCAGGGTTCGTCGACATGACATAAACTATAAAGCAGCGGGTGAATTGAGCTTAAATCCAAATTTTTATCCAAATCGATCCAAGGCGAAATCATTTTTTTAGAATTAGTAATTTTTTTTACATTAATCTCTAACAAGGGTTGCTTTTTAAGGGTTGAAATATGATGGAACTCTATTCAAAAGTATAAAAATAATCATTATTTAACTAATTCAAACCAAATCTTACCATATTCAGGTTTAATATGTTATTTTATAATTTTTGACAATTAGGGGTAGTTTTCACCCCTAAAACCCTTCAGCGCACTTCGGTTCGATATAGATTTTGATCCTTGGGCTATCACCTACCTTCTGTTAAAATTTCAACTGGATACATGCAGGACGAAAAAATTGCGAGGTTTTAACTTTTTTCGAGCTTCATTTCCTGAACTATTATCGCTACCTTAGACAAACCCGTCTTACGCAAACAACATTGTTGTGAGACAGATAGTTGAACGATATTTTATACAATGTTTATACCCAGGTATGGATTTATTTTTGTCCAAGTTTATATTGGTCCACTATTTCAAATGCAGTTCAAACAGACATGTAATTAAATTGTATGTTCCGTTTTAATTTGGTTCAATTGTAGATCATCATAAAATGCTTCGAGCATTGGCTGACTGCCGCATTGACTACCGGTATATCGCCTTGATTAAAAGTATTTACGAAACTGGTACACACCTTGTGTCCGCTTTCATGAAGATACCAAGAAGTTTCGAATAGAACGTGGAATTAGACAGGGTGATGCTATCTCCCCTAACTTGTTTACAGTTGTTCTTGAATATATGTTCAAGCAAATGGAACGAGAGGATAATATGGGAATTAATATAAATGTGAAGATCTGAACCACCTAAGATTTGCCGATGACATCGTTTTAATATCTGATAGAGTTGGTTATAGCTACAAAAATGCTGCACACGCTCTATAAAGTGTCAAAAACATTTGGTCTTAAAATTAATACCTCAAAACAAAATGTATGTACCAACTTGTAGTCAGCGGTGAAATTCTGATTGAGGGCCATAGCATCGACCAAGTAATAGCTTACAAATATCTAGGCATGAGATTCGCCTATGCCGAGATAATCAGACAACTGAAATACAAAGAAGGATAGGTCTCACATGGCTGCCGTGGTAGATTGAAGAACATTTTCAAGTCTAGTATCTCAGTTTGTTTAAAAAGAAAGGTTTTTAACCAGTGCGTTTTACTGGTTCTTACATATGGTGGAGAAACACTGACTCTGACAAAAAGAACAATAGATAAAATAAGAGTTACACAATGCGCTATGGAAAGATCAATATTAGGTATTACCATCCGAAATAAAGTACCAAACTTGCCAGGGCTACATGGGCTTGGGCCGGACATGTTGCAGATCATCGGATGACAGATGGACCAAAAAGATTATGGAATGGCGACCAAGGCAAGATTCATATCGAAGCAGAGGACGACCACCGACTAGATGGACGGATGATATCAAGCTCATCACCACAAACTGGATGCAAGAAGCGCAAGACATTTAGAGGTGGAAAATTTTACGGGAGGCCTACGTTCAGCAGTGGACAAACATAGGCTAATTGATGATTTCGTTCCTAGTTTTTCCGTCTGGGGATAGTCACGTCCATTAAATTTTACTTAAATTAAATGTTTTTTTTATGTCAATTTAACTTTTGCTTTGTTTTGTCTGTTTTAGTGCTTGGCAGCGGGTTCTTCCATAATGAACCGAGAACAAGAAAGCTGCGCCATGCGTCCGCTGGCTAAAGCCGTCACCAAGAGCCTAGAGAACGTGCGCAACCTGTTGCGCGCCACGTGCCTGCGCAATAACACCCCCAACGGACCAATTAAACTCGACTCCAACGAACAAGATACGGAGATGTTGTTGGAAAGTTTGAAGATATTCGATAGATTGTTCGCCGAGTTCGAGCTAGCCTACGTTAGCGCCATGGTTCCTGTTAAGTCCATGCAGGAGTACGAGCTGCAGGAACTTATAGGCGTGTTGTTTTCGGAAACGTTGCAGAGGGCGCTAAAAATGAAACTGTTGACGCAAGACATGATAGACGACTGTGATCCTGCCTTAATGTTCACCATACCCCGTTTAGCAATAGTCAGTGGGCTGTTGATATTCCCGGACGGGCCTCTTTGCATAGACAGAACTATAGAAGATATGAGTGAAATGTTTAGGCCTTTTAGGACACTGTTACACAAAATTCGGGAGTTATTATTCACGTTAAACAAACTAGAACTGTATAGATTAGAAAAATTGTTGTGTGATAACGAACAAATTGATGATGTTAAATCTGTTAGTGACTTAGGTGTTGATAATGAACTTTTAGAATTCATAAGTCCCTTTTATAACGACTACACATTATGCCAAGATTCGCTTTCTAATTATTTAAAGAACGATACCGAGAAGCCTACTTCTTACAAAAAGACGACTGTTCTGGATTGGTTTGCCGAGCACGACATCGTAGACGACGGGTTACCTTCTACATCTGGATACCTCATCCCGACAAACGTTCTTCACAATACCATAATCGCAGCCAACACAAATTCCCACACATCGATCAGTAGGCTCGATTCTCCTCCGGACCACGATTCCTTGGAGATCATTTCCGTGGCAGCTGCTACTCTCTCGTCCATTTTGACCACCCAGGATGCTATCCCCGGCAAGGCTGAAACCAAAAAGAATACCGTAGAAGATCTGGAATCGCCAGATGATTCAGGAATATGCACGGAAAATACTAGTCTCGATAGGTAAGACATTTATTTTTCTGAAGCACCATCTGTGTGTCCTTTCAATGTTTTTTATATGAATAAATGTTCTGATATCTTTAGTGATCTTTATATGACGTGGAATATTTTGGGGGGCACGGTAGGACTTTTGAGCTGTCGAAAAGATTTTCAGAGTCTCTGAAGATTCCTGAGATATTTTAGGACATTTCCGGCTGCCTTTAAGAAACTTTAGGTCAGTCTGAAATGTTTCTAAAAGACTCCAAGGTAGCTAGGAATGTGAAGAGCTCTTTGGAGGATTTCAGGAACATCTTTAAAGGTTCAAAGCTGTTGTTCAACGATTGAGGGATCTTTTGTAGTAATTTAGCGCACACAGAAATGTTTCAGTGGCCTTTACAAGTTTTTGGGCCAACGGATGATATTCCAGGAATGTCTTATATCTTTTATAGATGGTTTTGGAGATGTTTTAGCGGCTCTAGTTGACTTCTAGAAAACTTGTAATGAGTTGCGGGGCTCTGGAGAATTTTGGAGTTCAGTAAATCTCCTCTAAAATGTCCAGAAGCTTCCAAGACTGTCTTGTAGTGATTCAATGGTTTTTGTAGTAGTTTAGTACAGCGAGAAATGTTTTATAGGCTTCTGCAACATTTTCGTACAACCAATGATATTCCAAGAGTATCCTGTAACTTTAGTTGACTTCTGAAAAACCGGACATGATTTGGGGGCTCCGGAGGATCTTGAATGTTTTGAAATACTTCAGTGATCCCCTTCCAGAAAGTCTGGAAGCCTCCAACACCCTTCTGTAGTAATTAGATGGTTTTCTGTTTTCTGGATTAGCAAATTAGGGCAACCAAAAATGTTTAAGTGATCTCTACAAGATTTTAGGACTGTCCTGTTATTTTTCAGGAACCTATGATAGACTTTGACAGACATTTCCAGAAAGTCTGGAATCTTTCAACACTGTTCTGAAAAGATTCAAGGTTTTTTTTGTATTAATTCAGGACAACCAGAAATATTTTAGAGGCGTCTGCAAAATTTTCGTACAACCAATGATATTCCAATAGTATCCTGTAACTTTTCAGGAACCTATGATAGACCTTGTTGATATGTTAGCGGCCTTAGTTGACTTCTGAAAAACCTGACATGTTTTGGGAGGCTCCAGAGGATCTTGGTCTTCAGTGATCTCTTTCCAGAAAGTCTGGAAGCCTCCAACACTCTTCTGTAGTAATTAGATGGTTTTTCTGGATTAGTAAATTAGGACAACCAAAAATGTTTCAGGGGCCTTTACAAGATTTTAAGGACAGCCGATGATATTGTAGTAATGTCTAATATCTTTTATTGATGGCTTTGGGGATGTTTTTGGCAGCTCTAGTAGACTTCTGGAAAACTTGTAATGTTTTAGGGGACTTTGGAGAATCTTGGAGTTCAATAAATCTCCTCTAAAAAGTCTAGAGCTTCAAAGACTGTCCTGTAGTGATTTAAGGATTTTTGTAATAATTTAGTACAACCAGAAATGTTTTAGAGGCTTCTACAATATATTCGTACAACAAATGGTATTCCAGGAGTGTCCTGTGACTTTTTAGGAACCTATAATAGACTTTGTTAATATGTTGGCGGCTTAAGTTGTCTTCTGAAAAACCTGATATGTTCTGGGGGACTCCGGAGGATCTTGGACTTTAGTGATCCCCTTCCAGAAAGTCTCGAACACTCTTCTGTAGTAATTAGATGGTTTTCTGTTTTCTGGATTAGTAAATTATGACAACCAAAAATGTTTAAGTGACCTCTACCAGATTTTAGAGCAACCAATGGTATTCAAGGAATGACCTGTTATTTTTCAGGAACACAGGATAGACTTTGACAGACATTTCTAGAAAGTCTGAAACCTTCCAACATTGTTCTGTAATGATTCAAGGGTTTTTGTAGTAATTCAGGACAACCAGAGTTGATTAAGTGGCTTCTACAACATTTTAGGGCAATTAGTATTCAGGGTGCCTGATTTTTCGGAAACTATGAGAGATATTGGAGATAGTTTAGAGGCTCTATTTGTCTACAGGAGTTCCTGAAATGTTTCTAGAGGACTTTATGGCAGCTAAAAATATTAAGGGTTCTTAAGAGCGTTTCTGAGACGTCTGGAAGCTTTAAAATAGTGCTGGTATGATTCAGGCGTCTTTATAGTGGCTTCTAGAATTTTTTAGTTCGAGTAAAACTATTCCAAGATTCTTCCGGGGCTTTTGTAGAATTTTGAAATACTTTGGAGATGTTTTAGGAGCTCTAGTTAACTTCAGAGAAACCTGGATTCTTTTGGAACTTTCTAAAAGTCCTCGAGTGTTTAGAAATGTTTCTAGAAAACTTTACGACAATTAGGAATGTTTAGAGTTTTGTGGAGGATTTTAGAGTCTTCTCAAAACTTTCAAGACTGCTCTGGAATGATTTCAGCCGTTCTTATAGCCATCTACTGCAACAGATTAGTACTATTGACAGATAGAAATATAAATAACAATGATAAGGCAAAACCTCTGGAGAAGTTCAGTTTTGGCTTAAATATTTCAAAACGCTCCTGTAATGTGCCAGAGAGTTTAATGAAGTTTAACGTAGCCTGAATTGTTTGTAGAGGTCTTCACATAGCAGTTGGGAATGTTCAGAGTTGTCTGGAAATGTTGAAGGCTGTTCTGTAATTATTCAGAGGTTTTTGTAGTAATTCAGTACAAAAAAGAAATGTTTCATTGGCATCTATATCTTTCATTTTGGTATTTATGAGACCCTTCGGAAAAGTTTTAGGGCGGTTTAGTGGACTAGTAATATTTTAAGATGTTCTGAAGAACTTTGGAGCAATCTGAAATGCTTCTGGGGTTCCTGAAATACTTCACAGGTCTGAGAAAGTTCAGGACTGTTTTGCAATAATTAAGAAGTCGAAAGAAAATGCAAAAAAGTATTTTTGAAGTGTGTATATTTTAGGCAATTTCTAGCTGAGCGCTTTCGGCTTTACAAAGCCATCATCAGAGCTATGCTACAATAAAATGTTCTTATAAGTACTAATTGGTAAAGATTATAATTTTTAACTTACGTCAATTTTTTAAATACCACTACAAAGGAGAGATCTCATTTCCTTAAATTTCAAAATTATGATTTTTTTAGTTGTTGAAATTCTTAAAACATATAAAAAACATATAAAAAGCCGACACTGGACTTCACAAACACGTTAAAAAATTGAAAAAAATTTTTGTCATGGTACGGGTGTAAGAACCCGACCATTGATTGATGTGAGGAGGTAGACAGAATAGAACTAATGAAATCAAATGTCGGTCCTTTTAAACGATTTTTCAAAAGTGACAGTTGACAAATGTCATATATAGGAAATAGAGATTGTTTTTTTAAATTCTTACAAAATTATTTAGTAGTTTGGAATTACTAATAGTCATCAAAGACTTTCTAAAAATTAAGTTTTTAAATTAAATTTTATGTGTTCATCACATCATACAGAATGACATTAGTTTGTAAATTCACTCAAGTCATTGCTCAAGGTCAATGTATGTTCAATCTGACAGCCATCCTTAAGAAACAAGGGCTCAAATTGTTCAACAACAATATAAAGAAGAAACATGGTATTAATGTTACGTTATCTGATACTTAAGTGTATTGAGAATTGTATCTCTTGATGGAAAATTGTAAGAAATTTGCATAAAAAATTTTTTAAGAATGTATTTTCATGTTTCAATTAAGAATAACTGTCAAATGAATTACAAAATGTTGTAAATTTCTAATAAAGTTTAAAATTTGTTTAAAAATATAAAAGTATGAAAAATATATAATAAGATTGCATGAGGTCACCCTTCTTCCTCTAAAGTCTCCCATAATAATTTAAAAAGAGGTTTATAGTTGCAATTGAGGTTGATTTGTGTGTTTAAGCAACAATCAGGGTTTAGTTTCATTTCTTTGGATATCTCTAGATCTTCCAAGAGATTCATGAGTCTAAAGTTTTTATTGGGAATGTTGTGTAAAATTTTACTGTTTTCAGAAGGAGAAAAGGAATGATTATTAAATTTAATGTGATATCCAAAGTTTGATTTTTCTGGGTTATTGAGGTGTTCTTTGATTCTTTGATTCAGAGTTCTCATTGTTCTACCTACATAAGTCATATTACAGTCACCACAGGACAGCTTGTAAATACCACTTCTGTTTAGTTTGTCAACTTTGTCTTTGGTCTTGCTGAAGATGGACTTGATGTTATATTTGGTTTTAAAGGAGATGTTTAAGTCACTAATTTTATTAACAGTACTCTTGAAATTTTTTCTGAAATTGGTCCTAAGTAAGTTAAGGATCTATATATGGAAGTAGTGTTGGATTTTTTATCAACATTAAAAGCTTGGTTTAGTCTCTTTTTGAGTATAGATTTTCTAATGACTTTATCAACAGTAGTAGAAGGAAAACCATTGTTGTTTGCTATCTGTTTAATGATGGAGATTTCTTTATTGTAATTTTCTTGAGACATAGGGATATTAAGAAGTCTGTGGACATAACATTGAATAGCTGCCATCTTGTGTTGAAAAGGGTGATTTGATGATGTTGGTATCATATGGTCAGTTTGAGTAGGTTTTCTGAATATTGAAAATTCTAGTGTAGGCAAAGAAGAAGAGGAGGAAGCATTCTTTTTGATAGTTAGGTCTAAAAAGTTGATAATGTTGTTGCTTTCTACTTCTAAGGTAAAATTAATTGCAGGATGTAGATTATTAATTATTGACAAAATATTGTGAGGTTCTGAAGGTGGGCCTTCTATAAAGGCTAAAATGTCATCCACATATCTGTACCATAGGATTATTTGTGGTTGAGAATGAACAAAGTTAGTTTCGAGAGAGTCTAGAAAAAGATCTGCAAGTAGAGGAGATAAAGGATTTCCCATTGCTAAACCCTCTGGTTGTCTATAAATTTTATCGTTAAAGATAAAGAAATCTTGGGAAAGGCAAAATTGGAGTAGAGAAGTAATTTGTGAACATTTATTTTGGTCAATGTTTTTTCTTTGTAGAAGGTTATTGATGATTGGAATGGTGTCTAATCTGGGAACATTGGTGAACAGATTTGTTACATCGAAAGAGACCATAGTGAAGTTATTCGGAAGAGTATGTGAAGAAATTTTGGAGATTAAATCTAAAGTGTTGGCAATAGTATATTTGGGAGTGTAATTAAGTAGATCTAGTAGAAGAGTGTTGATAAATTTTGCTAGTGAAGCTAGTGGGGTATTGACAAAACTAACTACAGGTCTTATTGGAACATTAGCTTTATGAATTTTAGGGAGACCATAAAGTCTTGGTATTAAAGGATTGCTAGAAATGAAAGTTTTGGGGTTAGTTCCAAGTTCTTGAAACAAATTAGTTGCATTAGAAATGTTTGATTGTAGATCATTTATAAGTTTATTCATTGGGTTCTTGTTAAGTGGAATAAATGAGTTGTTGGATAGAAAAGATTCTACTTTGTTAACACAACTTTGTCAACTGTCACTTTTGAAAAATCGTTTTAAAAGGACCGACATTTGATTTCATTAGTTCTATTCTGTCTACCTCCTCACATCAATCAATGGTCGGGTTCTTACACCCGTACCGTGACAAAAATTTTTTTCAATTTTTTAACGTGTTTGTGAAGTCCAGTGTCGGCTTTTTATATGTTTTTTATATGTTTTAAGAATTTCAACAACTAAAAAAATCATAATTTTGAAATTTAAGGAAATGAGATCTCTCCTTTGTAGTGGTATTTAAAAAATTGACGTAAGTTAAAAATTATAATCTTTACCAATTAGTACTTATAAGAATATTTTATTGTAGCATAGCTCTGATGATGGCTTTGTAAAGCCGAAAGCGCTCAGCTAGGAATTGCCTAAAATATACACACTTCAAAAATACTTTTTTGCATTTTCTTTCGACTTGTCATAAGTGTGTACAAAAAAATATCAGTCTTTTGAATAATTAAGAAGCATTTGAAGAACTTTAGGACAGGCTGAAATGTTTATACATGACTTCAGAGATTTCAAAAATGTCAGGATTCTCTGAGACATTTTAAACACGTAGAGTTTTTAAATTGAATAGTCATAACTGTTTCAGTGACCTCTAGAGGATTTAGAACAGCTAAAAATGTTCTAAAACTGTCGATACTCTTTGTGGAACTTATGGAATTTGCAATAGGTTTTGTAGGGCTTTAATCTTCCAGGCAAATGTATGTATAATGATTCACATCATTTACATTTTCCCTTTTTATGATTTATTTAAAGAACTTCCAATAGAAGCCTTCCCCAAGTTCTTTTTTCCTTCCATACATTATCTGCATGATGCAGTTAATGCAAAAACCATCTTCCCAAGACGGTTCCGTTTCGAAGGTGGATATAAAACAAGTTTGAGTTATGTCAAGTACATTCATAGATTTATTTTCATCGTAGGTCGCCCAGTCTAGATCTTAACGAATCAAAAAATTGCGGCTGTGTTAGTAATGCCTCCTCTGCGGATTGTAACTGTATTTCCAAGCAAATCAAAAGGCGACGCATCTCTTAAGAAGTCACATAGCCATCATCCAAAACTAATGCCTAAATCTTCGTTTCCCACTAGAAAGAAAAAAGGCGGCAATCGGACGAAAAACGTCATCGAAGAGGATTTTTCGAGTTCTGGAAGTTCCGAGACGTCATCATTTAATAGCACGTACGCCGACGATGAAGAAATTGCTATGGCTATGCAAGCCGCCGAATTGGCTACCAAGAACGAAGTTAGAGCGAAATATAAGTAAGTTATAAATATGTTTTTTTTTTCACCATTATATTAGCAATACCTACTGTTTTGTATAAATCTTAAGAGGTCGTTGGTTAAATGATCATCAATCATCAATCAGCCAATCACGTCCACTGCTGGACATAGGCCTCCCTCAGTTCTTTCCAGTGTTCTCTACACTGGGCCGCTTGTAACCAGTTTTCCCGCTACACGTTTTATGTCATCAGTCCATCTAGTCGGTGGTCGTCCTCGGCTTCTTTTATAATTTCTGGGCCTCCATTCCATAATACGTCTTGTCCACCGTCCATCTTGTGTTCTGGCTAAGTGCCCTGCCCAGTTCCACTTAAGCGTCGTGGTTCTTTCGATGACGTCTTGAACTCCTGATCTTCGCCTGATTTGTTGGTTTGTTATGTGGTCTCGAAGTCTCACGTTCAGCATTGCACGTTCCATGGCTCGTTGTGTAACTCTGAGTTTATTCGCAGATTTTTGCGTGAGTGTTAAAGTCTCTGCTCCATAAGTTTGTACAGGCAAAACACATTGGTTATAAACCTTTCGCTTGAGACGCATGGGAATTGAACTTTTTAGAATATCACTTAATTTGCCAAATGCTGCCCATGTTAGGCCTATTCGCCTCTGTATTTCATGTGTTTGATTGTCTCTGCTTATTTTGATTTCGTGTCCCAGATATTTGTAAGTGTCTGTTTGTTGTATGGTATTATTGTCAATAGTTATATTGCCACTCATTACGAGATTTGTTATAAGTTTAGTTTTCTCAAAGTTTATCTTTAATCCTCTTTTTCAGACATGACTTTTAAGCGAATGCATCATAGAAACTGTATCATGTAAGTTATCTGCGATTAATACAACATCATCTGTAAACCTTAGGTGAATTAATCTTTCTCCATCTATATTGATGCCCATATCTGGCCATTGAATACTCTTAAATATTGACTCTAGAGCTGCCGTGAACAATTTTGGTGAAATATTATCTCCTTGTCTAATTCCTCGACCTAGGCTGAATTTTTCTGTGTCTTCGTGTAGTCGTATACTTGATGTAGCGTTCTCGTAGATGTTTTTGATTAGTGTCGTGTACCTGTAATATATTCGGCTTTGATTTAGGGCTTCCAGTATTGTTTCAAATTCTACAGAATCAAAAGCCTTCTCGTAATCGACAAATGCAAGAACCAGTGGTATGTTGTACTCGATGCACTTTTCTATTAAGATCTTTATGGTATGCAAATGGTCATTTGTGCCATATCCTGCCCTGAAGCCTGTCTGTTCTTTGGGCTGATAGTTTTGTACATATGTGTCAAGAGGCTGATGGGTCTATAATTTTCTAATTTAGTAATATCGCCTTTTTTGTGTAACAAGACTATTACTGCATTGTTCCAGTCTTTTGGAATCCCAATTTAAGCATTTATTAAACAGTTCGCTTATTGATTTTAATAAAATTTCTCCACCTGCTTTTATTGCCTCGATAACGAGTCCATCATCACCAGACGATCGATGGTTCTTCATTTCCTTTAAAGCTTCTCTTACTTCTGACACAGTAATGGGTAAAAGTATTTCCGATCCCTGATTTATGTGTGTCTTTACTCGTGTCGGGAAATTGTCTTGTGGTTAAATGATATTAGATAAATAATAATGAAGAAAAAATGCAATATTTTGTTTGTAAATAAATAAGCGAAAAATAGCAACTATCAATTGTGAATAAATTATGAAATTAATTAGCCATACTCATTATTTAAACTTTGATGGTACACAAGGCAAATATCGAACACAGTAGTTAATCAAATCTTGCCCAAGTACTTTCGATCACAAGATCATCCTCAGGGGCATTTCGTCAGTTGTGGCCTATCCAGCAGTAACAGAATGTCATAAAAGTAAATTGGGACATAACAAATACACTAAACAAAGACAAACAAACACTTTAAAATTTAAAATGGAGAAGCTACATTTTATATAGAAGCCGGAGACAGGATGCTGTCTCCTTCATTCAACCTTCTATTGATTTTTTTGATACTCCATTAGTGTTGTCTGTACAAAGAACATAGACTTACCCTTTGAAATATTGAAGTCGTATTCTTAGTCAGTGGAATCTCGTTGTTACCACCTCTGGACGTCTGTCGAGGCTCGATGGCACGAGAACTGATCATTGGTTGTGTTTTGTTCGCTGTCTTGGGATGCAGTGCATTGAGACTTAAGACGGTCAGAAAAGAACCCTCTAACCGTTACGTGGTGGTCCAAGAGGGTATACCAATAAATCACGCTTATTGTATTGCGATTTTGAAGGCGATAATTTAAAGTTAATTGTCACGGTAATACGAAACTTTACACTTGTGAGTATATTTGTGACCCAAAATACAAAAGAGAAGCCAAATTCTCCGTATTCTCCGGTTTTTAACTCTTCCTTCTTTATATATTCTAGAAACTGTTTGCTTAATTCATAAACACCTACATGATTTTCCAGAAAGACCTAATCATGACTACTCCACCAGAAATTCAACCTTTGATGTGTATTTATCGATCCCGTCCACTGAGTAAAGAAATCTATGTTTATTTTCGGCAAAAAAAATTATACAACCATCTCCCTTTGCAACTTAAATCTTCAACTTTTGCAATGGATTGTACCTATTTTATTATCTTTTATTTTGTTTGATCTTGAAGACTTATGTAATTTTATTAAATTTAGATTTATTGTTATTTTTTTTTACTTTTTGTAAGCTTTGTCCATAAAATTGTACAAGTTCCAGTGACATTAAATCATATTTCTATTCTATTCTATTTGCAGATCCAGCGAAGACTTACTGCACCGCTTATTCGTATGCATAGCAGGTGTGGCCGACCAACTACAGACGAACTTCGCTTGCGACTTGCGCAACATCCTGAAAGCTGTTTTCCTTATCAACGCCGGTGATGCAGTCCCGGATCCGCCGCCCAAAAGTATAGAACCCTCTAATCCGATAGAAAATTCCATAGAGTATCATCCCTTGGAGCACGAAGTGATCCAGAACAACAACGAATTTTCTGTGGATCCCAATATACTAGCTCAAGAGGCCCTCTTCGATTCCAACATCTATTTCCACTTGGACACGGACGACGAATGTCAGGAGTATGTGAATCGTCGAAGACAGCAACAAGAAACCGAAGAAAGGGACATCAGTTCTCTTACTGCAGACTTAAACAGGTAAATGATTGTTCCAAAGCGTTATTATAACATTTTTTTTTTAATTTTATTAAAAAACCTTTATAAAAGGTATATATTTAAAAACCCCAACGGGCTAATTATACAAAACGTCTTCGAAATCCATATTCCATCATCAGTGTCCTAGAAAATATATAACCACTTAATTAAAAAGAACATGATGTTGAAATTTTGACTAAGGTTAATGCAAAGTGTGGTTAATACTTACTAGGAGTAAATGAATGTAGCCACTAAATATATGGGTAAAAACCCGTTAACAAATAATTAGTTACATTTGGTTTACAATATTTCTTATAATATGTTATGATGTTAAAGTTACCGTTGGATAAGGTAACATGGCGACATATGACTCCACGTTGAAGTTGTTAGTCCTGAGACGGTGTATCTACAAGGACTGTATGGAAGCAACTGATTGGAATGACACTGTTGACAAGTTAGGACGGACGTCGTAACAGAGCAGTCAATATAACTGTATGTGTCTACTTAAGACAAAAGCCAACGTTATTTAAAATTGTTAAAGTAAAGTAAATTAATATAACAGTATCAACCATCATTGTTGTTGTTTTAAAATTCTGTATATAAGATGAGATGTGGAAAAAGAAAAATATGTGGTTATAGTTAGGCAACCAACTATACATGTGTGCAGTAGTGTGGTGAAATAGAGATTTTAATATTAGGCCCTTTACGTTTATACAACATTTGGTACATGGAAAATAGAAACTAGACACATGTGGGAAGTTGAGTTCTTGAAATTTTATTGTTGTTGGTGGAATATGAATGAATATATTTAAAATATGAAAGTGTTCTTGAATGAATAAAAATAAAACTTTTGTAGTATGATGTTCATGTAATATTAACTTATAACTCAATTATAGAAGGCCCTGTATGTCAAAAAACAATATTTGGTACCTGTTAAATGTAAAACTTATTGAGTTATAAGTTCATGAACATAAATATCTGATTATGTGTTAATGGACTAAGTGGTTTGGAAGTTTTAGTGTATTAACTATTATATGAAATGAACAAAATTTGATGGTTGGGACATGGTTTTGTAGTATGTTGATCATATAGTACTCAACTTATAACTTAAAAAGGCCCTATCTGTCATAAAGCAACACTAGGTACATGAGAAATACAAAAGGATAAGTTATAAGTTGAATGAATTAAGGGTATATACTGACCTTAATTTTAAGAAAGAATTGTTTAATGATGGCTATCTTAAAATTGAGTAAAAAAGAAGAAAATTATGGTGTTTTTTGAGAAAATAGTGAAATACGAAAAGACTACAAAAGGCTGAGATCCCCAGAGAACCGCAACCAAACCCTAAGGGAGTTAAGTGGAAGGGTAAAATAAGAACTGAGGGGTTTGTTTGAAAAGGATGCTGAATAGTCTAAAAAATTTTTTTGGGGTGCCGACAAGAAGCATGGACAACATTAGATATAGGGGGCCGGACTTGAAGTTTGAGTTGAATGAAGAGAAGAGGGGAATATGGAGATATGATGTGTTGAAATAAAAGTTTTTGGAGTGGACTAAAGAAGATGAGTGAGGTGAACGAATAGTTATAATTGTAGATTTTAATTGTAAAAGTAAATTGTAAGGGTGAAGATTATGATAATAGTTGGCGATGGAGAGGGAGGAAGTCTCGATTGAAGGATACATGAGGATTGACGTAATTTGGGCTTTTTTGTTTTTCTTTAAGAATGTCAAGGTCTTCGTATAAGTCTAATTTAAGGAAGGAATTTAATTTAATTTTATAAGTCTAAATTGTTAACGGATTTTTACCCATATATTTAGTGGCTACATTCATATACTCCTAGTAAGTATTAACCACACTTTGCATTATTTTTAGTCAAAATTTCAACCTCATGTTCTTTTTAATTAAGTGGTTATATATTTTCTAGGACACTGATGATGGAATATGGATTCCGAAAACGTTTTGTATAATTAGCCCGTTGCGGTTTTTAAATATATACCTTTTATAAAGGTTTTTTAATAAAAATTTTTTTAATATATGGTATACAGCCAACTACAGTAACGTAGATTCCTTGTGGATTTTTTTTTTTTTTTTAATTTTCTAATGTCTCTAACTTTCTGTGTCTTTAGGTTGGCTTCGTTCCGTGAAGAAATAGCCAATTTGCATCCTAACGAAGTCTCTCAAAACGAACCCGACAACATCCTCTGCACCGAAGCCCCCGACTATTCCCGCCCACCCATTTGGATCCCCGACGTCGAGGCGCCCAAGTGTATGAGCTGCCGAGTCAACTTCACGGTGGTCAAACGACGCCATCATTGCCGCAATTGCGGCAAGGTCTTCTGTGCTCGATGCTCTTCTAATAGTGTTCCGTTACCGAAATTCGGACTCGTCAAACCCGTCAGGGTGTGCAATAAATGTTTTATATACAATTTGACACCGTTTACTGTGTAAAACGGACTGTTTTGGACTGTTGATTCGGTTGAATCGACCGGAAAATGCTTGTCTGGGATTTGTCATTTGTCATTAATAACCAATGTCATTAATAATCTTGAAATACGCCATTTCTAACAATTTATGACATTTGTTATTCGTCACTAATTAAGTCGCTTATTTCAGAAACAACCTAAGTCACGTTCGGACAGTTTGCTGGAGATGAAAAAAACGTTTTGAGAGTTTATCTGAACATTTTTACTAAAAGTGACCGTTCTGAAAAGTTCTATTGACATTTTCCCACTCCATTGTCTCAGATTCTTCAACCAGGATATGCGTCTTCTCCCCGGTCCTCTTTTGCCTTGCACCTTCCCTTGTATGACCAGCCGCATCCATTCGTATTTCTCGTTTCTTAGTATGTGACCAAAATAACTAATTTTTCTTTTCTTTATAATGTTGAGTATTTTTTTTATCTTTTTCCATTCTTCGTAGCGCTTCCGCGTTTGTTATGTGTTATATCCAAGATATTTTTCACATTCTTCGATAACACATTTCAGAGGAGTCTTTTCTCTGTCGCCTCTGTAATTGTCCAGGCCTCAACTCCATACAACAGGACAGAGAACACGTAGCATCTCAATACTCTAGTTCTAATTTCAATGTTGAGTTTTCCATTGCATAATATTGCTTTCATCTTATTAAAAGCACTTCTAGCTATCTCAATACGCCGTTTTATTTCCGTACTTCTATCCCATTCTTCATTTAGTTCGCAACCTAAGTACTGATATCTGTGCACCATACCTAAAAGTTTTCCTTTAGCGTAAACACTGTCTTCCTCATTCTTGTTCTTGCTTACCACCATGATTTTTGTTTTATTTGTATTCAGTGCCATTACATACCTTTCGCAGTATTGGGTAATGCGATCAACGAAGATCTGTAGTGCTTTTCTGCTGTCCGCAAGGAGTATTTTGTCATCTGCGTATCTCCTCTACTTTCATCCATTTATCTGTTGCTTATAAATCTTGTATATAAATTGCTTTTGCCTTTCTACTTCCTGAACTTCTTTGCGCACTTGTTCTTTGATTTGTTGGTATATATCAGTTTTCTCAGATTGATTCCAGGTGTTTTGGCAGTTGTTTTTAACTTTTTTAACTTGAGTTTCATATTTGCTAGAACTAGATTGTGGTCACTTGTTACATTTGCTCCTGGGTACGCTTTAGCCGATATTATGGCATTTCGAAATCTTTGATTTATTATTATGTAATTTATTTGGTTTCTTATTATAATTTCACACAATAAGAAGCAGCAATAAGAACAAACAATAGAAACACAATGAATTTTATAGGTTATGGTAAACGTCGATATACAAAATGACAATTGACAATTTAGTGCAGAAACAACCTTAGTCCGGGGCTAAGGTGGTTTTAGAAATATGAGAATATTTTAAATCGATATAAAATCAACTATGCTTACGGAACTTCGGTGTATTCTGCATTAAATTGTGTGTAATCCACAGAAATACATTTTGGTGTTATAAACCCAAAATCGCTACAATGTGACTTAGGTTGTTTCTGAAATAAGCGATTCAATTGCATTACTAATTTTTAAAACACATTATTAAACAATAATTGCATCTCTATCCCTTTAATTGACATTTTTTTTTCAATAAGGATATAATAGGAGAAAAAATAAGTTTTAATAAACAAAAAACAATTTTTTACAGATGTAAGAATCAAACTCATCGATAGTTTTGGTGGAAAGACACTTTTCGCAACTGTTTAACAAAAAATGTATCACTTTTTGGTAGCCTTTTAGGTATAAATATCTAAATTGCGTCTGAAATATTTCATTAATATTAACCTTTCATGCTTTTATAATTATAGTTAAAATATTTCACTTTTTTTTTATAAATTTACATTAATCATAGCAAAAGTGCCTTTTCACCGAAGCATCTGCCGTTTGTACATTAATAGTTTTTGCGGAAATTTAAAAAATAGTTGTTTTTAACGTTTTTTTTTTTATACCTTCAAGTGTTTTCTATTTCAGTATGTGATTTATGAAATAAAATGGAAACTTTGACTGTAGCATTTTCCGGGTGAGGTCTACCGAAATGAGATTAAACTCGAGGTTGTTTTTATTCTATATTTTGTATCAGTGTGTACTTAATGGAAGATTTATCAAGTGTTGCAGGATAGGAAACGTTTAAAATTTGGATGTCTTGGTTTTCATAGTCATTCGCGAATATTGAGTGGGAATTTTGTTTTTGTTCTACATATATCTGAACAAGATTTGCTAACTATCGACAAGTCATACATTTTGAGCTCAAAATACTTATAATAATACAGTATGAATTGTTCTTGTTGAGTCATGAAATCATTTTTCAGTTATGTTTAAAAATTCCAGTTATAAAAAATAGTATATAGCCAAAGAAAAACCTCATCAGCGTATTTTTAGGAAAATTCGACACACTGGAGCAGTTTTTTCACATTTATCTTAACAATGTTTCCTTTATATATAACTCTTCTTATTTTAAAAAGTATTTTTAATTAATTCGCAGCATCACGATATTAAAATACATTAAAAATTGCTTGTAACATCCAGACGATATCTATGTTTATTTCTGTAAGGAACTTTCCTTCTAATCTGCCCAGAATTACTACTAAAATCCTATTGACTGTGCCAATTATATTTTTCTTAACGACAAATGGCACTAAGGGGTTTAATAAATATTTAATGTTTCATTTTTCATACTGGAAATTTGCTGAACTTTCTAATTAGTAATTATCTATTATTGTCCCGCGGAAACTTCCATAATAAAGTCTAAGGTCGAATCAGTCCAATTTTATTGCGTTAAAGGTCTCTTTTTTCCTTCTTTGGCAAATAATGTACGCTAAGACAGTTAAGATGTACACTTCAAACAGACATGAGGAGAAAGCGACCTTTAAAGTGACAAGCAATGACCTTTATGGAGAACATTATCGATTTTGGATCGATTTTTTGGTTTGGAATGTATTTGTTGCCGAAAAATGTTCCCAGAATCTTTAGTTGGGATTACAGTTTTTAACATTTACGTGTATAAATTATGTTGAGTTTAAAAATATGTATCAAACTTAAATTTAAAGGCGAACCAAGACGTTTCAACAAATATTACCTCCTTAAAAACTTTTTTACTTCGCTTCATCGTAGCTTGAAACCAAGACTGCTCGTTCAAACAAGTGAATCTTCGAAATCGATTATTTTTAAAAGAAAATACGCCAAATCAGGGTTGAAACATTTAAAATATATACATTTTTAATGTTTTAGTGTACATTGATTTTTATTAGTTGACATTAATACTACTGACTGCGCCAATTTTGTTTATTTTATCATTAAATAAAATTAAATAAAATTTTAAGTTAAATATCTTTCTAATTATTGTAAAGTTTTTAATTTGGTAACATAGTTGTTTAAAACACTTGCAGTACTTTATTAAATAGTTGCTCCAGTGTAGTTTTCTGCAAATTCTTGTCGGGTTTGAGTTATTTCAGCTGGATCGCTTATAATAATCTCGATTTATTTAAAAATCTTTAAGAATTCTTTGCTACTGACTTGTATCAACCCTGTAATGGCAAACGTGTCTCTGAAACTGTGCAATTTCCATCTTCCAAGGCTCTAAAACGATCTTCGAGGATTCATTTAAGCATTTTTTTATCTTACGTACGATAAGATTTTAAAATTTTGCCTTATATGTGTCTGTGTATTATAATATCGAGATAAGAATATTAGATAGCTCTTTAAAATTTTCATAACTTTGTTAAGGCTGAACGATATATCGAAAAGTAAATCAATATTACAGTAGGTATGGTGACATCTAATATTGACAAATAACATTAGAAACAATGTTTGATATGTATATCGTCAGTGTAATTTGCATATTGCCTCACTCTATTTTATTAAATTTTACAGGAGAGCGAAAAACTAATTTAAATGATTAAACTTGTTACCGATTGGCAACAAATTAGTTGTTAAGACTACTAGTCAACTCGGATATAATTTGAATGTTCTATTTTTGGTTTTTAGATGAAATATGATTATTCGCTTTTTGCGAACTAATATTTTAAAAAATGAATGCTTCAAAAAATTTCAAATCAGAAAACATAAAATGAATTAAGCACAAGGCTAATTATCTTCTTCTTACGGTGCCTTATCCTTAAGAACGTTGGCCATTGTATTTGCCCATTTAATCTTTTGTAGCAGCCCTGAAGGAGGTCATGTTCGTCCATTGCCGTAGGTTTTTAAGCCAAGAGTTGCGTCTTCTTCCTGGCCCCCTTTTGCTATTGTCTTTGCCTTCAATTATAAGTTGGAGCAGTTCATACTTTTGATTTCTTATTATGTGACCAAAATATTGTGTTTTCCGTTCTTTTATTATAAGCATAAGCTCTCTTTCCTTATTCATCGTCCGCAAGACTTTTACGGTAACACCAGAGTTCGAATGCTTGGATTCTTTTTTGTGTTGCTTTTGTCATTGTCCAGGCTTCAACACCATAGAGCAAGGTGGAGAAAACATAGCACTTAAGTATTCTAGTTCTCAATGAGATGCCCAGCTGGCGGTTGCATAGAACTTTTTGCATTTTGTAAACATTGTACGTGCCTTATCCAGGCGTATTCTTATCTCTAGTGAGTGGTCCCAAGTTTCATCAAGATTACTTCCAAGGTACGTTGTTCTTGTTACTCTTTCCAGATCTGTTCCGTCAACATTGACCTTCACCCTTCTGTTTTGGTGCTTGCTGATGACCATCGTTTTTGTTTTCTTTGTATTAAATTTCATTCCAAATTCTCTACAGGCTGTCGTTACTCGGCCCATTGAGCGTTGCAGGGCTTCAGCATTATCTGCCAGCATGACAGTGTCATCAGCATATCGCAGGTTATTTATACATTGCCCGTTTATAATTATACCATCCGAGGTGCCTTCCAAAGCTTTCTGAAATATCTTCTCAGAGTAAACATTGAACAGCAAAGGTGATAGGACAGGCTAATTATGAGGTAATTGATCACAAAATAAATGGTAGTCTTGTTGTATACTTTTTTCAGTTGTTGCAAATGCTCATACAGTAGACGCCCTCTTAACCGACCATGACGGACCTGGCCATAGGTCGGATAATCAAAAAGTCGGTTAAACCGAAAATCTTTAAAACCACCCTCAGAAAGACATTACATATGTAACTCTCTTATATATATATA